TACCGACCTGGCCCATTCTGTCCGGCAAGTTATCTCCGCATTTCACGTCTCTTTTAGTATGTTCAATGACGTTCCTGATTCGTTCCTTCAATACTTTTTGCGCATCCCCTTCAATTGTCTAATATCCGTGTTCTTTCCCATTGGCTGATTTCTTCTTTACCTATCTTTGTATTTACTCTTTGACATTCGGGCTCGTTTAATACTTATCCAAGGAAATCCCTCACGTATCCATAACTAAAATTAACACTTTATCTTCTGTTGTTTTATTACATAGGTCACTTCCTACTCTCGTTTATTTATATATTAATTTTGCGTCAATATTGACCTCTGCTGCTCACCTAAATGTTCTTTATAAACTTGTATGATGATTTTTATAGAACCCAGGATAATCCATGATAATAGTTACATTACTGAACTGTACTTACATTACTAATCCATGATTTAATGTTTCTTGAATTCTGTTAGCTGTATTTACATTTTGATAGTATGTACCTTCAGCTTTGAATTTGCAATAGGATAATCAAACTTCCTATCTAAAAATAGAGACAAGGTTTTTTTATACAGAACATTTTTATCGATTATTTTGACCCAACAAATGATAATAGGTAACACCACGAGTGCTTTGGAATTTATTTGGGAATTTCCAACACACGAGTGGAATTTAATAGGACTATTCTACGAGTGAAATTATGCCCAACAGAGTTCCGAAATACGCCAAATATTGAAAATAACAAGCTATGTGGAAATCAAAGAGGTTCATACGATGTTTATTGGACATCGGCATAGCGATCGACGTTTACTGCCTCCTACGTTAGATGCGTCACAATGTATGATTGGTCAGTAGGAAGAAACGAGAAGGAAATTGGATAGAAAAAGTGATGACCTTTTTGAGATACACCTCTCTGATTGAGGCATTTTGTATGTATTGTTAAACACAATTGGTTTTAATTTCATGAGCGGAATAGTCACAATTTAACTCGAAATAATTCGAAAATTCAGAGATTTTAGATGGGACCCGCGTAATTTTTATAAGTGTGTTCTGCTATTTTCGTACATAAAAAATGTAGTGAAAAAAATGTCGGGGTGTTTTTGGAAAGAAAGAAGAATATTGAAATTGTTCTAGAAGCTCCGTGTAACTTATTCTTTTCCTTCCTCTCCTTCTCCTTCTTCTGCTTCTCCTCCTCCTTTTCCTTTTCCTTCTCCTTTTCCTTCCTCTCCTTCTCCTTCTTCTGCTTCTCCTCCTTCTCCTTTTCCTTTTCCTTCTCCTTTTCCTTCTCGTCCTTCTCCTTTTTCCTTTTCCTTTTCCTTTTCCTTCTCCTCCTCCTCCTCCTCCTTCTTCTCCTCCTCGTCCTTCTCCTCCTTCTCGTCCTCCTCCTCCTTCTCGTCCTCCTTCTCGTCCTCCTCCTCCTTCTTGTCCTCCTCCTCCTCGTCCTCCTCCTCCTTCTCGTCGTCCTCCTCCTCCTCCTCCTTCTCGTCCTCCTCCTCGTCCTCGTTCTCCTCCTCCTCCTTCTCCTCCTCCTCGTTCTCCTCCTCCTCCTCCTTCTCGTCCTCCTCCTTCTCGTCCTCGTTCTCCTCCTCCTCGTTCTCCTCCTCGTTCTCCTCCTCGTTCTCCTCCTCCTCCTCGTCCTTCTCCTCCTCCTTCTCCTCCTCCTTCTTCTTCTTCTTCTTCTTCTTCTTCTTCTTCTTCTTCTTCTTCTTCTTCTTCACTTCACGGCTTAGGCTACTGCCTGTTCCGTCCTCGGATTCACTCCGTATAAGGAATCAGTCAGATTCATTGCGAAAAATCACCTTTGGAGAATATCTTGTGAACGATTTAGACGATAGTATTGTCCACAGGTGGACAGCCAAACAGATGATTTTGAAAAAATAGCACTTCAGTGTCGGGGATCTCGCCTCCACGAAAAGGTGTATTTTGTCCTTATTTCGGTTCCGACTTTTTGCAGTATTATAATTCTTGCACTTCAATAAACAGTACATTTCTATACTATACGAGAAAAAAATAATTCCTTTCCAAGGCCACTTTAATGAAGTTCTTGTTTTTGCAAATTATTGATATTGTCAATTGAAAATATTTATTTTGAGCTATTCTGCTAGCTGCTCTCATGCTTTGCTCGCACCTTATACTTTCTCGCCTTATTACGTACTTACGTCGTAAGATATTAAGTAGCTACTTGGTGGAGAATCTGGGAGTATTCGACAAAAGCTCAAAATTGTCGGGCTCTGGTAAGGAACTACCCGAGCTAAAACAGCACTTACTTTCTCGCTCGTATTTTCACGCAAAATTACGCGGAAAGTTCTCACATTTTTGAAAAATTATACATGGTCTTATTTCAAAATACATCTTTAAGGAACAGATTTCATTAAGGGGAAATATCTCTCTATCTTTAGTATTTTAGTTGTAGAAAGACTCAGATTTTTTGAACTTTTGCAATTTTTGAAAAATCAGGGTTTTTACGAAAACGAGGCCTGCTCCATTCTCTTAAACGCCCTTCACACCTTTCATCTAACGACAAAATTTAATCAGAAACAGCTTTTTTTTTAAATTTGGAAACTGTTTCAGGGCTTCATGTTAAGTACCCCCGACCAAAAGAAATATATTTTTGGTTTCAAATTCAAGAGGACGCGACATCAGCCAGATCGATTACGGAATATCAATTTTTGGAGAAAGTAGGCTGAACGGTTTTGCCGCCAGCGTTTTTCACAGACGCACAGACAGGCCGACAGACGAACATACGGTCGGACAGACAGACCGAGAGACGGACAGACAGACATTTCCCGTCATTCGATTTTTCGGTATCAAGGACCCACAAAACATGGATACTGGCTACACTACGTGATAGAGGGTTTCCTCCTTAAATTTAGCAACTGGATTTATCTACTTTTTCGTTAGCTGGGGCCTGTAATAAGAGTTTTCTGTCGAAAATTCGTTTTTTTTTTCGCGCAGCTCTTCATAACTTTCTCTCAACTATGTAGCGAGAAAGTAAAAAGTGGATAAATCATGTTCCTATATGTAGTAAAATTTTTCATGTAACAAGTTGTGTAGTCAAAAACCACATTTTGTGGATTTTTGACACCGAAAAATTGATTTTCGGTCGAAAAGGTCAATTCGTCCCTCTGTCCGTCCGTCCGTCTGCCCGTCCTCTGTCCATCTGTGGCCACGGTAACGCCTAAACAGTTTGGACGATTTTCTTCAAAATTGATATTCCCCAATCAATTTGAAGGTACTAAATTTGTAGGTACTCGAGACCCGGCGAATTTCAAACGGAACTTTTGATTTTGGGGTGTACCTTTCATGACGCATGAACATTTTTCAAAATTTTCTCAAAAATTTATCTATTTTTTATTTAACTTAGTTCTTTAATGGCCATTAAGGAAGCTTAAATTGTTTTTTTCTGCGTCTTCCTACAACTGCAATGTTAAATATAGTTTTTTTTCAATTATGGAGTCTGTAGTTTGAAGATTGATCTTGAAGTAAAGTCGTGTACAAATTTTGGTAAATGAAAAGGTTTAGCGTAATTTTGCGTGAAATATTTTTAAACAATTATATTCTCAATAATTTTTTTATTGACTTTTTTCATGCTGTGTATCAAAGGACGGTAAAAAAAGTGGTAGACTACTGCGTAGAGCAGTTTATTTATTTTTTATTTTTTCAAAAACGGCTTCATTTCTTTTTTTTAATCATCCCACGCCGCATAGAGCAAAGGGCATTTTAAAATAGCACAGGTTTATTTTTCGTTGGACTCTTGATTTTTGAACATTACAGTCAGAAATAATGCGAAAAAGTATGTGATCTAGTAGCATAACTAGTTTCCACACGACATGACTGAAAATGTGAAATAACTCCTTTTAGGTCAAATTGTTTCTTAAACTTGCCACTAGCAACTTTGTGAACAATGAATTAGGTAATATTCAGTAAAGAGAATAGAAGTCCTCGAATGAAAATATTTGTTGTCCAACAAGGGGTTTCAGTTGAAATAAAAATTATGAAATATTATTAAGAATTATCAAGATTATTAAGAATTGAAATAAAAAGTATGAAGTAATTTTAAAGATTCCGTTTGATTGGATCATTTTCCTCGTTGAGGTTGCAGGTTCATAACGTAATGATTGAAACGTCATACGCGCCGTCGTTATATCGAATAATTTTAGAATCAAAGGATATATATTCGCTGTAATAAGGATGTCGATGCGATCAAATCCAGTGAATTCTTCAAGCTTCAATTATCAGCATTATAGGAATTCGTATCATGCGCTTTCCGCATGTCGCGAATAATATTTGACAAGTACTAAAACCCGTTCCCGCGCATAGATGGAGTGCGGAGCGCCGGGTGTAGCGTCGGGAGTTCCCATTACGTTCGCGTCGTGGCGCGACGATCGACACGGCCTGTCTGCGCATTCTACCCTCGGAGGCAGCGTGCGCGCTCTCGCTTTCCCTCCTGCGCAAGACGTGCGCGCGCGATCTCGTCTCGCGACCGAGCCCGCCTGCCTGACAGACAGACAGTCAGTCGCCGCCGCCACCTCCGCTGCTACCGCGTTTATTGCCGCGCCAACTGTCAGCGAGACAGCCAGCGCCACGGCACTGTAGGTGCGACAGGGGTGGGCGCGGATCGGAACACAGGGTACACCGCAGCAGGCGTGCCGCGACTAGGTGGCATCGCGCGCTCGCGGGTTTTGTTTCTTTTAGGTTGTTTTTGTCGGGCGAAGATTTTTGCACCGATTTGACGCGACTCGCCGGCGAGAGGTTTCTTGCGGGTCGCTTTCTTCGGATGAAAGTGAGCGACCGCGAGCGACGAGCACAGCAGCAGGTCGGGCGAGC